CATTGTTTTAAGCCAAAATCTTGCACCACACAACTAAAATGACTGAACCATGCCCACGATGATTGCTTTAGCCCATAGATAGCCTTCTTCAATCGACACACCTTTCCTCACTCCCCCTGAGCAACATACCAAGTGGGTTGCTCCATATATACCTCCTCTTGAAGATCACCGTGGAGAAAAGCATTTTTAAAATCAAGCTGAAATAGGGGCCAATCAAAGTGGGAAGCTAAAGAAATAAGCACTCAAACATAACCTATTTTAGCCACATGAGAGAAGGCTTTTGAATAGTCCACACCTTAGGTCTGAGTATACCCCTTAGCAACAAGTTGAGCTTTGAACCGCTCAATACTGCCATTTTGGTGGTGCTTAATTGTATAAAACCATCAATAACCAACAGCCTACTTCCCAGGTGGTAAGGAAGTGAGATCCCAAGTATTATTGGATTGAAGAGTATGAAATTCTTCATCCATCGTCTTCTTCTAGTTAGGAGATGAGAGGGCTTCCTGTAGAGGACGCAGTAGAGAAACAGAGGATAGAAGGGAAATGAAATGTTGATGTGAAGGAGACAAGTGAGCAAAGGAGACGTACCGAGAGAGGGAGTGATCTGTGCAAGTACGCTTACCCTTATGAAGAGCAGTAGGAAGATCAAGATCTAAGGATGGTGGATCTGTTAACGGCAAGGACTCTGGTGGCATGTCAGAAGCTGGAGCTGGATCAACTATTGGCGACAATTTTGGTTGTTTATCATGTCTAGAGTATACTATGTGAATAGATGGTTGAATAGGCTCCTCCACAGTAGGAAAGGGAATAAAGACATCACCAGCGTTAGAGGGAAGAGGAATAGAAGGAGAAGGCTCACGTCCAGAGTAATTCAGAGCAACAAAAGTTTTTCATAAAACTAGATCATAACACTTGTAACCTTTTTGAGTACGAGAATAACCAAGAAAAACACATCTAATAGCTCTGGAGTCAAGTTTATCTTGGCTTGGACCCAATTTGTGAACAAAACGCACACAACCAAACACACGAGGAGGAAGAGAGAAAGGTGAAGTGGAGGGAAACAAAATAGAGAAAGGTGACTTACCATCTAGGACTGAAGAGGGCATATAGTTTATGAGAAAACAAGAGGTGAGAATTGCATCACTCTAATAGATTTTAGGGACTGGCATTTGAATCAACAAGGCCCGAGCAGTTTCAATCACATGACGAATTTTCCTCTCAGCCACCATTTTGCTGCGGAGTGTGTGAACATGAGGATTGATGTATAATAACATGAGAATCAAAATAAGACTGGAAATTATTATGAAAGTATTCCTTGGCATTATCAGAATGAAACACTTTAATGCATACACCAAACTGATTCCTTATCTCAGCATGAAAAGATAGAAAAATAGAGAACAATTCTGAACGATCCATCATTAAGTAAATCCATGCCATTCTTGAATAGTTGTCAATAAATGTTACAAAATATCTGAATCCATTATAAGATGACACACGACTAGGACCCCAAACATCTGAGTGGACTAAAGCAAAAGGACTCAAGACTTTCTTATCATCCCTAGGAACAAAAGATACTCTATGATGTTTACTTAACTGACATGACTCACAATCTAGCTGAGTCCCAAACTCCAAAGTTGGGACTTGCTTTTTCAAAACATGCAGAGAAGGATGACCAAGACGGCAATGCCACTGATGTGGTGTAAGAGAGGAATGAAGAGCCTTCTGAGGACCATGGTCATCCAAGTAGTACAGTCCTCTAACTTCACAACCGCCACCAATCGTCTTCCCTGTCTTGAGATCCTAAAAGACAGTATGAAGGATAAAATGTTATTGAACAATGAAGAGTTTGAGTAAGCTTACTTATAGACAAGAGACTAAAGGGAAACTTGGGAACATAAAAAACTGAGTATTAACTAAGGCTAGAACCAAAAGACACATTACCAATACCTGTACCAGTAATAGCAGAAGGAGAACCATTAGCTAAGGTAACGGTTTGAGAGGTAGAAGGTGGTGACAAGGATAATAACCTATATGAGGAGCCAGTTATGTGGTCTGAGGCTCTAGAATCAATTACCCAGGGTGAAGGTGAAGAACTAGGAACAAGGCAAGCAATACCTGACTTCACAAGTGTAGCAGTGGTAGAACTAGAAGAGGTAGACTGGGGAAGCTTTTCATACTCCTCACGTGAGATTAAGATTGTGTCTTTATCCTTACCAAAGTCACCTTCCACCATTGCATGGTTAGCCTAGGAAGATAGAGGGCCATAAAGATCATAACAAAAGTTGATTGTGACCTCGTCCACAATGTGAGCACTGACGAGCTGAACCACAGCCACTATCACTACAACCACCACCACCTCTTGCACCACCAACCTCTCTACCACCTCCTTGTGCACCTCTGGGCCCACAACCAAAACCCCTCATATTACCTCCACCTCTACAACATATATTCCTAGTAGGAAAACCTCCTTTGGAAACCACCATGGCTGGTCTCTCTAAAGGTGGGGGATAATCAGTTAATCACTATGTGGATTTGATGCTCTCCTTATGGGAGAGAAAACCTTGGACAAGGATGGAAGATCACTACTCCCTAAGATTTGGGCCCGCATTGGTTCAAATTCAGACCTTAACCTAGATAAAAATCTTGCTACATCTAGATGTTCTCTTTGTTCTTGTTGAGCCTTCAAATTAGTGAATAGAGGTTGATAAACATTGAGCTCATTCCTTAAGCTTTTTAGAGAAGCATATTCTTCAACACTTTTATCCCTTTGTTGAAGAGAAATAATTTTGGTATAGTTGGTAAATTCTTGTGACATTGTCTTGTCCAGAATACAATTGCTTGGCATGGTCCCAAATCTCCTTGGTCATGTCTAGAAACATAAGGTTCACACTAATGTGATTCTCCATACTATTCCAAAGGGATGCCATAATTTGGGCATTCTCTTGTACCCATTCATTGTACCCTTCTGATTCACTTTTCAATGGACCCTCCTTGATGTACTTCAACTTGCCTCTTGCAATGAGAGATACCTCAACCGACTTGGCCCATGGGATATAATTATACCATTGAGTTTTACCATAGTTAATTGAGAAGTCATGAAATCTTATTGCACAACTACTGTAGGTTTAGTGCTACTATTTGATGAAGCCTTGAGTGAGAAGAGATCACTGATTTGTCACCTATGCGAACTGTCAAACAGCTGGTGTGCAACTATTGCAACACACTTTTTTCTTTAGGAAAAACACCAAAAATCATCAGCCTTCTACTTTAGAAACACTTGGGAAAGATTACACACTTACCACAAGGTTTCACCACACCATAAACCACTACAAAATCACCACACATTGAGGGGCACCTACCTCACAACGGCTGCCCTCTTCGAATTGCCGAATAGAGGGCTTTTAGAAAAACACCACCAACAAACACAAGACTGCAACTTGAGGCATTAAAGCCTCTTTTCCAAGTGGGCGATCAGTTTTCTTAAGTCATTTTCCTCTCCACCAAAGAATAGAGAATATTCTCTATTCCTAGGGCACAAAAAGTTGAGACGTGAACAGTTAGTCGACCTCAGGGCTCTGATACCATGTTCCAACCTTAATAAAGAAAAGAAAAAGGAGAAAAAGGAGAAGAAAAGAGGAAGACTAGCATGGAGAAATCTAATTTTCTCTCCTTACTGTCGATCTAGGTTGTATTAGCATTCTACTAAAGCTGAAATGACTACAATACCCTTAGGTAAGTTACAACAGACATGAGAGAGAAAATAACATGAAAAAGACAATAATGCCCCTATTAACTAATTCTAACAATTCTAACATGAACCATCAAGTCTAATTGTGGTTATTTGAAAGGGGTTGTAATCAGTCATACCACCAGCCCCTCCAACATCTTCTCCAGCAGATTTTTGTTCATTCCCAAAAGCCTCCATGTTGGACTCAACAAAGAGAAGAAAAGAAACTCAACCAACTCCCCTTTTGAATAGAAGGATTTCCCAAAAACTGAGAATGGGATCAACAGGTCATTAGATTAACTGTTTCTCAAAGAAAAAAACCCTAAAAACAGTCTCGGAGAAAGTTTGAAAGAGTAGCCATGTTATGGACGCATTCCCCGGGAAGACGTACCGTCRCCACCGGCAGCAACAGGCACCTGACCCACCGCCAGCAGCAGCAGTGATTCAATGATTCTCATCCTACCCAGTTCGGCAACAACAACCTTATCTAGATTAGATTAGATCATCTTGCTTGTTCTTATCTTATTCTATTGCTCTTATCTTATCTTGTTAGTAGCTTATCAGATTAGGATTAGCTTATCTTATCCTTAGCAAGATAGAACTGGAAGTCTCCCTATTGAGCAAGGAGACTCCCCTGGATTAGGACTCTTGTAATCTCCTATTTAAGGAGACCCCATTATTGAATGAGGATATCGAAGGGGAGGACTCTTGTAATCTCCTAACTCACTTCAGTTTAAGAAGTGAGTTAGGAGAGTTGGTGATCTCTTGAACAAATCACCAGAGGCCAAGATAGGTTCAGCTAGGAAGGGGAGGAACAAGGGAAAACAGGAGCTTTACCCCGTGGACCGACCCGTGACAAGATCCTACGCCTAAGCCCATAACAACTTGGTATCAGAGCCAACCGTCATGGGAGATCTGGAGCAGCTATCATCCAGGGTCCACGAACTGGAGTAGGCTTGTGGAAACCAGCGTGGAGGTTCATGAGGTCAAAGACGATGTCTGGGAGCTGCGACGCTTGCTGGAATCGTATTTCTCTAACAAGGAGAGGAATCCAGAAGGGGCTGTAACCACAAACAACCGCCGACCAGACTCGACGGAGTCGTCCGGCGAACAGCAGGTCGTCGCCCCGGTAGCCGCAGTCATCCCCAAGTACAACAGGCTGGAATTCCCGTCGTACAACGGCAACGGAGATCCCTTAGGCTGGCTGTATCGCTGCGAGCAGTTTTTTCGGAATCAATGGACAGATGACCGGGATAAGGTGCGCAAAGATTTCAAGTCAAAGTATTCGGATATTGAACTTGTGCCTGAGGAAGAGTTTTTCAATTCAGCCCCTCAAGATATTAAAGGATCTGTACTATCAAAAGACAGTGCACATGACCTGATGCTAAGGCGGCTTAATTTTGAGCTTTCCCGGCGAAGCAAGATCCCCAAACCTCAGACGAAAGAGGGGAGGGGGAGGAGAAGAAGAGTCATGGCGGACTTAGAAAACTTGCTTCTGGAAGCGGCAGGAAGAACCGGTGGACCTGGGAGGAACAAACACTCGCGCCCTCCACCATCGAGAAGGCGAAGGGATGATTCCTATTTCGACGATGGCAGCGATTCGAAGGACGATGACGACTCGGACGGCGATGATCCGGGCTACTCAGGTAGAAAACCCTCTGGATCTCAAGTCCCTCTCAAGAAGAGACTGGACACCCACGACAAGGACGATGACTGCGATAGCCGAGATGACGACTGCGATTACGACGATGACGAAGATCGCCATGCCGGCAGCGGGGACGATTCTGATGTCGGGAGTGATCTCTACAAGGACGACAGGGACAGGGAAGAACTCGCTAATATGAGCAAGTTGCAACGAGAGTTCGTCCTTTCTAAACGAGCCACGAAGAAAGATGATAAGAGGTTGCAGGAGGCCGTTAGAGCGAGGCAGGGTGGAAAGAAAAGTGATATTATGAAAGAGACACCCCCTTCAGTTCGTGTTCGGTCAAGGTATGCCGATAAGTTGGCTGCGAAAGATGATGCTTTGAATGAGCTGCGGAATAAGAGGAGGAACAAGCAGGACCCGGAGGGTCATTGTAAATTGAGGGATTCGGGAAGAGGGGGTCTGGGCGCGCGAGGTGGGTCTCCGGTTCGGTGGAGATCGATACTTACTGCGGTGAGTCCGAGTAGTTCAAGTCAGAGTGACTCTCAGAGTGGAAGTCACATCAGAGATGATGGTTCAACAAGGGATGGGGATCTGGGTGACAGTGACGATGATAGGCATGGAACCGGGAAGGAGGTGCCGACGTTTGAGGAAATTAAGAGTATTACGATTAGGAGGTCAAAGCTAGCTAAGTGGTTCATGGAACCCTTCTTTGAAGAGCTGATTGTGGGTTGTTTTGTGAGAGTTGGGATTGGAATGTCTAGGTCTGGGCAGAGTATATACAGACTTTGTATGGTGAAAAATGTCGATGCCACGGACCCTAATAAACAGTATAAGCTTGAGAACAGGACTACATACAAGTATTTGAATTGTATTTGGGGCAATGAGAGCTCGGCTGCGAGGTGGTAGTGGCTAGAGTATCTGATTCTGCACACTCATTGAAGAGTTCAATGATTGGTTGCGTGAAGAGTTCAAGAAAAGCCTTATGGAGACCATTGCACACCGAAAGAAGTTCCTTTCAAGTCTCCCGAAATCTCTGAAGAAAGCATCTTTGCCTGTCCGACACCAACTAGGGTTCTGCATACAAAGAAATTAAAGCAGCATAATTTAGCAGAATTACTGCCACTTCCACTCTATGTGATTTACTCACAATTGCTGGTTCAGAAGAAGGCATTTGGGGAGAGTATTGAATCGGAAATTATAGGAAGCATGAAGGATGCTCAAGCGTTTGCCCACCAGCAAGCAATTAAGGACAATGGTGTTTCTACAAATACAGAAATGAATAAGTTTGAGGATGATGCGCCTGATGAGGAAGAGGAGGGCCAAAGAAGGTTACTGGAAAAGAGAACCTTGACCAATCAGGAATCTATCGATCTCATCCTYTTAAAATCATCCTTCATATACATGATGATGAGGTTTCAAATCCCAAGCCTGCAAAACTGGTTACTTTGAGGTTTGAATACTTATTGAAGTTGAATGTTGTATGTGTTGGGATTGATGGCTCTCAAGAAGGACCTCAGAACAACATCTTATGCAACTTGTTTCCTAATGATACTGGTAC